GGCGAAACCTTGTAAAACGATAAGAGTAAAAACCAACGATAGCAGGATTAAGGGTCATTTAGATGGGTGGGGGGTTTTCATCACCCCTCACCTGTTAGCGCCCTATAGGTAACATTTCGGGCTCCTCGAATCCCCATACAGAGGCTAAAAGGCCCATCTCGATGACAAATAACTCCAGTCGCGGGTCCACCGAGATGGGATTTCTGATTTTTGTTGCAATTTAGGACTTAGTCCCCCGTACGTAGATAGAATATGGCTTTGGGTACATTATAGTAAGATCCCCATATACCCCATCTTCTATCTACTTAAGGGGGACTATAGGGCTTAGGGTTTCGGCTGCAACTTCTCTTCACCAGCCTTGTTGGATTTGCGCTAAAGAAAATTCAACCTTAGTCCCAAATAGTAGATTCCCAAAATAAGGGGACCCCAGTATAGACCCCAAAATATTATAATCCTTATTATAGGGACCCCAAAAAGGTACCCCTCATTTTGGGAAACTACCAAATATTTTGGTTGAGCCTTACGTCCGCGAACAGACTCTGAGAAGAGTTCCTGCCGTTCGTTTTGTGGGTACGGTTTTGGGCGTGGGCTTGGGAGCCCAAGATGTGTTGCCTAGAGTTGCTTGGAGATTTTCAAGCAATCCAGTGTCCAAATCTCGTTTTCTGAAAGCACACCAAGGTCAAATTCCGAAGTCTTGTGCAGTCTAGACGCTAGCCTACTTCGCAGAAAACGGTGTCTGTCTCGGCGTGAATCCTAACCCTAATTCCATTGTTTCAAAGGCAGAGCCTACCCCGTGGAGCTTGAGCAGTCAGGTGCGGTAGTTCATGCTTAGTTTAAGCCTTAGGGTTTAGGGTGCTTATTCTACCAGACCTTGGGCACATCACGTCATTAGCTAGTGGTTCGAGCCATGCTAGTGTTGAAGCCCAAAACGACAACTCCTGATTCCCCAAGCCCTTGACCCTATATAAACCCATCACTCACACCCCATATGATAAAAGACATGACACCCCAACAGAAAGAACCAGTGCACCCCTGACCCTTAAGCCCTTCCCATACTAAACCCTAAACCCTACATCCAAAGGTGGCAGACCAACTTTTGGCAAGATGCGGCAGGCCGTGCAGAGCCGCAGAGCAATCTAAAGGCTTACAAAATGGAACCCCCCCGAACTGGGGTTCAGGGTTTAGGGTTCAGGGTTTAGGTTTCAGGGTTTAGGGTTTAGGGTTTAGGTTTCAGAGTTTAGGTTCCAGGGAGGGTTTAGGGTTTAGAGTTCAACAAAGATTACTGTCCTTCTACCAGGGGTCTACAGGATTTTCCATGTTAGCTTAGAGGAGGGTAGGGGTTTGAGCACAGGAATCCGAAGACTTGATGTTCTCCCACTACAGCTCTTGGCCAAGACATGACTACATCGCTTTTGTGGGAAAACGTTCATCCCAATCTTGCAGGCACTAGCTAAACCCTGCACCGTTACCCATTTAAAAAGGGTTTTGTGTGTAAGGTTCCAAGCCCATGTCCGTTTTGAAAACCCTTCCCCTCCCCTCCCTGCCTCACTCCCTCCCTCAAGACACAAAATTTAGGGTTTATCAGTGCACAGTCAATGCAAGATCTCGCTATTGGCTCTGTTTGGTGAACGAGCCTTACGGGTAACAGGCAACTGAGTGTGTGGAGAGAGGGAGGGTTTGAGAGAGTTTATCGGTGCAACCTACTCTTGTCTTGGGGCATCCGCAGGCGGAGCCATGTTTTGGCTACCCCTGGACGTGCTGTGCTTCACAGTTCCCATGTGGCTCCGCATGCCGATCGGGCAGCGGGCCCAAAGTTCTATGATTCACTTAGGTGTGAATCGGGGCAGTATAGGGAGACATATATGTATACAACCCCAATCGTGGAAATCAAATTGGCAAGAAATTGGACAATAGAGTTGACCTGGGATGGAAAAGTGGTTTATAGCGACCGTATTGTCTTGCAGCATGCAGCCGCCATCCTTGACATTAGCGGTTACTCGTGAGATGTCAAGGTACTTCACCACCTTCTGGTACGCTGCGCTGCTTTCTGTTTTCCGTGGCAGCGAGCTTCCAGCAGTGGTGGATGAACGCAAGTAGATGTTTGGAGCAGAGTCTACTACAGACTCGCGACAATCACTACAGCTCACTTGAAGTGAGCGCACTTGATGTATTTCACGCCCTTGGCTAGATCGATGTTGCCAAGTTGCTGGTAACCACGACTCTTAAATGCCTTGCTTTTGTCATCATCCCGGGGCGCTAATCCCAAATCATTTTATTCCTGGGATCCCTACAGATCCTCTTCGGCCTAAGCTTGTTCTGGTGTTGGAGCAGCAATTAGAGGAACGCAAAGGCAACTCTGGTGAAGATGCATCTTGAGGGATCTCTGATAATTGCCTGCAGAGCCTCTGTTTTTTCCCCAGGGTGGCTTTGCAGCCCACTGGGAGTCTCCAGAACCTCTGCAACATGTGCTGGTAGCAGTTTGCTGCTTCAGCAGTTGTTTGGCCTAGTTTCTGTCGAGAAGCCATCAATGATGGCCTCAGAGCATTCTTGATCGTGTCCCAGGCGGGCTGCTCCAATGCGGAGCTGAATACCAGAAGAATTCGCCGAACACATCAAGATGAAAAGGAGGTTGCAAATTAGGGGTCCCTTCTGGGAGCGGCCACAACAGAGATTCGTAAAGTATCTGGGGGAGGTGACGGGGGCCATGTATTTGGAGATGCCCAGAAGGATTTAGCATAGCAAGACTCCCCAAATCCGGCGCCTCTTGGTCTACATGAGGCTCTCCCGAAGTCAATATTGGTGTGCCTCTGTTGGGGCGTCTACTGTTATTAGCAGGACGGGACGACAAAGCTCCTTGCAGTATGAAGTGTGTCTGGACACTTATCATCCATTTCACAAAAGTCTGCCAGATGAGGCGGCTTTCTCGGTAGAAATTGAGGATGGCTGAGGGTTCGGGGTTAAAGTGAAGTTTGGTTGGGTAAGCCATGGTCTAGTTCGGGTGTAGACGATAGCAGTGTTTGGTATGGTTTGGGTATACGCAGCAGGTTTGTTTGGGCTTCAGCGATGGTATGGTACCGAGTATTTACGGGGCAATTGTGGCATCCTGATTTTGGAAACTCCCCATTTGAGTAAGATTACCACCAAAAAAACACTACTCAAGTCCCTAAACCCTAAACAATATACCACCCTATTATAGTAGTTTCCATTTTCTTTTCCATTATCCCTATATAACCCCAATATACTACCCTATTATAATAGTAGTTTCCATTTTATTTTCCATTATCCCTATATAACCCCAATATAACCCCTATAATCCCTACTCATTTGTCCCAAGGATCTGGCATTCGGGGGCTTGCTCCTCGCCGGCTCAGTCGCCTGTTGCCTGGCGTTTTGCTGCTACAGCCTCGGGGGGGGTAGTGCCAAAAGACGTTCAGTACTTGATTGCTGTAGAAAAATGGTTCGCATGTATAGTCCCCCTTAAGTAAATAGAATATGGGGTATATGGGATCGTATTATATTAGGCGCAAAGCCATATTCTGTCTACTTAAGGGGGACTATAATGGGCCCATGAATCCAGCAGGCATCTTGGCCGCATGTGCAAGCAAGATGATGAGTGATAGTGTTTCCTGCGATGGATGGCGGGAATCTAGCAACACCCCATAGAGCCCCCGGTTCCGCGGCGTACCTTGACCCCTGCGTTAGCCCCCATAGTGGTAGTTATATTAGCAGTGGCGCAAGTTTCCTAAATTCTGAACCCCAAACCGTGAACTTGATCGTGTCAGGTCGGTGTTGCAGAAAAAGTCGACCGGAGGAGGGTTTCGGGCAGGGGGGCTTGGAATTCCATGATCCAGGCTTTATGGTTTAGGGAACTGATCCAATAATGGAGAATCAACTGGAGAAGAACATGGAAGATGACATGGAAGCGGGGTTGTATATGTGTTATGTAGGGGCTAATCTCCCTTTTCCGGACACTTACCCTGCATAATAAACACCAGCAACATAGTACGAATGTATAGACATATTTGTATACACACACATGTTGCATGTAGATATCTATGTACATATATATATATGGATATATCAGGGGCACATGTGTTTGAAGAGGGTGGGGGATGTATTGCTAGGGCAACGGAATTACCATGTGCACCATGCGCACTGCCATTCTTGCAAGGTGAGCACGGCATTAATCTTTCTCCTAAGATGCAACAATCCTCCCCAACCCCCTCACATATTACATGCCTCTTCTGTAGCCAGATATGGTAGTTTTCATGACCATTGGGGGTCACCCCCCCAAAAAGTTATAATCCTTACTATGGTCATCCCAAAAATGTATCCTAATTCTGGCAGACCGCATAGAGTGGGGGAACGTATTTGCTCCGCTGCCAAGGTCCACGGTCTCCCAGTCGTCACAAGAGTCAGACGGCGTGCAGTATGCCTCGCGGCAGGCTTCGCTCATGCGAATTCAGGGTTTAAGGTTTAGGACTTGGGGTTTAGGGTTTAGGTTGCAGGTCCTTGAACCAGAGAACTCGGGTGACTTCGGGAACCTCACCAGCTGCAAAATTTGTGGATGTAAAGGTCGTTACAGGGGTTGCCCTTGCAGGACTGCGCAGCTATGATTTTGAGCAAGCCGAGATTTCCCCAAGCCAACCCGGCTATGCTGATTCTTCAGGCTCCCTTACAAGCGCCCCAACTAAACCCTATAGGGGTTTGTTTAGGGTTTAGGGTTTGGGGGTTGCTTCCATTTTATTTTCCATTATCCCCCATATAACCCCCATTATAGTAGTTTCCACCTTGTAATTCTTGCTCTTACTGTTAACTGCCCGTGTTGTGCAACCGTCAGCATTGCTTCACGAGCCTGAGATATTACTAGCAACAGTCCTCTTCCCTGTAGCGTCTTTAACAATCCTTGCCGGAGCCCTTTTGCTAATCGTCCCGCTACATGTATCATTCCCCAAGCAATTCATTTATTGTGACACTCAAAATGCAACAAGACCCGCGCAGCTTTACTCTACCCACGAGAACCTCCGCCTCATGCCGCCAACCACGAAAGAGGAAGATAATGCGCTGGGGCAGAGCCACTTTAGATTGTTGTCGGTGCTGAGCGTTTGCCCTCCAAGCATCCTAGCCTAAACCCTAAATGGGGGTTTCCTAAAATT